ATAGTCATATTGGTATATAATCACAGATTTTGGCCAATTTTGTTTAGCCCTTCAAACAGGCAAAACAAATAACCACAGCAATCCTGATTTTTTTTTTTTAAATCACAGTTTTTATTTTTATTTCTTTATTGTTATAATTTTACTATTTTACTAAACCAAAATATTTCAGTAATAACAATAATATAATTATTATTTCATAATTAAGATAATAATAATAATAATAATAATAATCATTAAAATAATAATTCTTCTTCTTCTTGTCGTATTCAATGGGTTCTATGATAATTAACCAGAGTCTATGGTGAGGATCTCCTCTATCCTTATAGTAAAGTCAACTCTAAGCGCACATTGTAAAGCTTCTCGGGGAGTTGCATCAGCTTTTCCAGCCCTGATAAATGTGTTTGAATCCTGATCGTGATCACGAGCGAATGAATGAGCTTCTGTTCCCATGAATCACAGCATGTGACGTCACAGAATCAGCCCATGTTTGTGTGTTTTTATTGTATCACAGAACATTTTTCAGTGCTACAGCATCACATATTAACTAACCTTATTTAACTTTAACTACCTGACCTGTTCTGTTCTGTTCCGGTTTTGTTAAGCGTATGTGTGTTTTCTCTGTCTAACAGCAGACGGTCTCTCTCATCATATTCATCATATTCCTGTTTTAGTGTTTCCTCTGTTTTCAGGTTTCTGGTTATCTGACTGTGTGTGTGTATGTGTGTGTGTTTCAGACATCTCAGGGCGTTCAGCCCAAACGCTTTAAGACTCTTCCTGAGTTGATTCAGTTGTATCTGCAGCCCAGTCAAGGCCTTGTGACCACACTGCTGTTTCCAGTGGAGAGAGAGGAAACCACAGAGGACAGAGATTACTCAGGTACACACACACACACACACTCACTCACTCACTCACTCACACTCACTCACACACACACACACACACACTCACTCACTCACTCATTCACTCACTCTCTCACACACACACACACACTCACTCACTCACATTATGATTCATATAACAGCACAAGCTCGCTAACTGCGAATGTGTGTGTGTGTGTGTTTAGATGGGGAAGATGAGAAGCCGCCCCTCCCTCCACGCACCGCCTCCACCAGCAGCTCTGCAGGCTCCGCCCTCATCAGTCCAGACACGCCCCCTGAGAAGTAAGCCCCGCCTCTGTGTTACTACACCGAGAGAACTCACATTACTTTAGTAGATTTAAAAGCTTTAAAGCAATTGAAATATAACATAAAATTAAATTTTTATTCCTTTACTTGTTAATAAAAAAAAAACTCATTATAAATCGCACCGGGTCAAAGTTTGATTGTTAAGAGAGAAAAAAATTCACAAAAAACGCAAGTTTCATCATATTACTATTGCATTCAGAAATAATGTAAAATATTGGTAAAAAAAAACCTAAATGTATACAAACATTATAAACATGTATTTTAGTTCCTGTCACTCAACAATAAATGCTTTAAATGTAATAGTATTCAGAACAGAACAGGAATGAAAAATATAATAAAGGGTAAACAAACAAATTATAGTGGTATCAGGGTTATTCTAGTTAAAAAACATTTTCATTACTTGAAATAAAATAAACATGAACTAAAATAAAATGTAAAAAATATTTTATTTTAGCTAGTGGCCAAAGGCAACATTTCTCATTTTCATTTATTAAGAAAATAACTAAAACTAAACAAATAAAAATGATTTAAAAACTATATAGACATATTTTAAAAGAAATTACAATAATAGAAATTACAAAAACCCGTAACTAAATTACTAAAACTTTAACTGGTATTAAAATGAAACCAAAAATAAAAAACTAATGCAAAATGCTGATAAAAATGATAGTGGTATATCAGTGATACTAAAATAACATTCATTATATATTCATATAAACATTGACATCAGTGCAAATGAGTGCATTTTGCATATGTTTTTTGCGACATTAATTGCCTTATATAAGTCACTTTGAAATATTAGTTGCAGCACATTTCAGATGATTAAAAAAATGTACCTTTACTCCAGAAGATTTGGTAAGTATCCTGCTTTAAACAAGTCAAATTCACTATCATTATTCCCAGGGAACGCATGAACTGAAAACAAAGTGTAGCTTGAATGCAATGTGCATCACTTTAAATATAACCATCTGTCAAATGCATAAATAATGAATGATTCCGTTTTTACTATCATGTGTTAATGTTGATGTTGAAGGTGTTTGTCTCCGCAGCGTGACGGCGTCGAACGGCCTGAGCACCATCTCTCACGAGTATCTGAAGGGCAACTACGCTCTGGATCTGGAGGCTGTCAAGCAGGGAGCAAACAGCCTTCCTCACCTCAACAAGACGCTGGAGGCATCCTGCAAACGCCTGCATGGGTACACACTACAGCCGTCCATCTGCTGCAATGCATTCTAGAAAAACATAGCGCATTCAAATGATTCAAGCGTTTAACACAGACCTGTCCGTCATCTTCCACTGATGCAGTGTCTGATGAACATGATGCAGGACGACTGACTGACTGTGTGATGGAGTCTATAAGACTGAGCCTAAAATTCAAGATATGAGGGCAAAAATCACCCTCTTCTATTTATATCATATGATAGAATTTAGTATCACACCAGCAAGAGTGATGCTGCTAGTCCCCCAATATCTGCGCCATTGCAAATGTGATGTTGATTTTATACGACAGTTCAATAAACAAGCAGTTAATATTGTTACATTTCAGACACAGTACTGTCAATCAAAGCCATAGCAGCACACAGCTGATTCATTATTGAATGAATCCACAGTTTTGAGTCAGTGATTCGGTGACTCATTTATGGACACAGTCACTTGCTTTGTTACTACATGAATTCGCCATTTTGAACAAATCAGATGAGTCAATGATTCAGTAACGCACTCATACAGTCACTAGCTTTGTTTCTGAATGATTCGCTCGTTTGAACAAATCATGCGAGTCAATGATTCAGTGACTCATTCATAAAGACAGTCACTTGCTTTGTTTCTGAATGATTCACTCGTTTGAACAAATCATGTGAGTCAATGATTCAGTAACTCATTCATAAAGACAATCACTCTCTTCGTTATTAAATTAATCTGTAGTTTTGAACAAACTGAGTGAGTCAATAATTCAGTGACTCATTCATAAAGACAGTCACTTGCTTCGTTATTAAATTAATCTGTAGTTTTGAACAAACTGAGTGAGTCAATAATTCAGTGACTCATTCATAAAGACAGTCACTTGCTTCGTTATTAAATTAATCTGTAGTTTTGAACAAACTGAGTGAGTCAATAATTCAGTGACTCATTCATAAAGACAGTCACTTGCTTCGTTATTAAATTAATCTGTAGTTTTGAACAAACTGAGTGAGTCAATAATTCAGTGACTCATTCATAAAGACAGTCACTTGCTTCGTTATTAAATTAATCTGTAGTTTTGAACAAACTGAGTGAGTCAATAATTCAGTGACTCATTCATAAAGACAGTCACTTGCTTCGTTATTAAATTAATCTGTAGTTTTGAACAAACTGAGTGAGTCAATAATTCAGTGACTCATTCATAAAGACAGTCACTTGCTTCGTTATTAAATTAATCTGTAGTTTTGAACAAACTGAGTGAGTCAATAATTCAGTGACTCATTCATAAAGACAGTCACTTGCTTCGTTATTAAATTAATCTGTAGTTTTGAACAAACTGAGTGAGTCAATAATTCAGTGACTCATTTATTAAGACAGTGACTTGCTTTGTTTCTGAATGATTCACTCGTTTGAACAAATCATGTGAGTCAATAATTCAGTGACTCATTCATAAAGACAGTCACTTGCTTCGTTATTAAATTAATCTGTAGTTTTGAACAAACTGAGTGAGTCAATAATTCAGTGACTCATTCATTAAGACAGTCACTTGCAATGGTCTCTCTCTCTGTCTCTCTCTCTCTCTCTCTCTGTGTGTGTGTGTGTGTGTGTGTGTTTAGGGAGGTGGATAAGGTCCTATGTGGTCTGGAGATCTTGTCGAAGGTCTTTGATCAGCAGAGCGCCTCCATGGTGTCCAGAATGATCCAGCAGGTGTGACATCACTTCCTGAGGGATTGATGTGTGGCTCAGTATGTCTGTGATTCGCACTAGTAGCTCTGATTCATTCAGACGGTTTATAGAATTTCTTATGTTTCTGGGGTTTGTTGATTATGTTTTGTGTGATTAGTGAGTAACTCTGTGTTTGTGTACTAAATGTGAGTCACTTTGGATAACAGCATCTGCTAACTGACTCTGACTCACGTAATCTCTGTCTGTAGACCATGCCAGCAGGTGTGACATCACTTCCTGAGGGTTTGATGTGTGGCTCAGTATGTCTGTGATTCGCACTAGTAGCTCTGATTCATTCAGACGGTTTATAGAATTTCTTATGTTTCTGGGGTTTGTTGATTATGTTTTGTGTGATTAGTGAGTAACTCTGTGTTTGTGTACTAAATGTGAGTCACTTTGGATAACAGCATCTGCTAACTGACTCTGACTCACGTAATCTCTGTCTGTAGACCATGTCTCAGGGTGGAGATCAAGAGCTGGAGCATCTGGTCACTAAACTGGCCATCCTCAAAGATCTGCTGTCATCTATAGAGAAGAAGGTAAACACACACGCAGCTAAATACATCAGACGTATCATTAGATTCAACACATGCTATTTTAGAGCTGAAGAATCACTGGCTGCTCCCAAATGTCTGTACTTTAAAGTATGTACTTAGTTTGATGGAAAACTCACATCTTCACGTCATCTGATCATTTTTCACTGACTATATCATGAATACTGAGCGTATATCGTACTATTTTTCTGTTTTCTTTTCTGTCATTATTATTATTATTTTTATTTATTAATATGATTTCTTATGATGTATCCAATTTTTATTATTAATGTTTGTTGTTATTATTTTTGTAATTATTATTTATTACATTTATTGTTTTTTGTTATTATTATTTCTTAAATAATTATATATTTAATTATTACTAAATTATTATGCATTAAAATGAATTATTATTCATTATTACTAAAATTGTTGGCTCTACCAAATTGTTTTTGTTCCTTCATTGTAAGTTGATTTGGATAAAAGTGTCTGCTAAATGCATAAATGGGTATGAGAGAGGCACATAATGAATAAAATGTATTATTGATTTATTTATTTGTTACTACTTTTATTTGTTAATTCATTCATTCATAAATTTTTATAAATAGTCTTCCTCTTCATTGCACTAATATTGCATTTAATAATGTATTAATATTCTGTCACACTGTTTCAGGCTCTGAAGGCTCTTCAGGACATGAGCTCATCTACTCCGAACATCTCACCGCTGCTGTCCATCAGACACAAAGCTATTCCTGTGCAGACCTTCGAGGTACAAACACTCTCACACACACACACACACATTCTGAGTAATAATCAGTGCAGTTAGAATAGAATTTTAAAGTTTTTAAAAATAGTAAATGATGTTTATGTGAAAGTGTAAGAATGCAAACAGATTTTCTGTAAGGGGTAGGGTTAGGGTTAGTGGATAGAAAATATCGTTTGGTCAGTATAAAAGTAATAGAAGTCTATGGAAAGTCCTCACAATTCACAGAAACAAACGTGCGGGAAGAGTCAGAAATACTCGCTGAGTGTGGACGTGGAGGGAGGAAAACTGGTGGTGATGAAGAAGATGAAGGACGCGCAGGAAGACTGGAACACGTTCACACACGACAAGAGTGAGTCTGATGATGATGATGATGATGCTGCTGAGCACATTACATCTGCTCTTACATCACTAGCAGTGTTGAGTCTGTGCTGTTCACAGAGGCTTTGTCACAGAATAAAATCATGTTTGTGTTTGTAGTTCGGCAGCTGATAAAGTCTCAGCGTGTTCAGAATAAACTCGGAATCGTCTTTGAGAAGGAAAAAGACAAAAGCCAGAGGAAAGATTTCATCTTTGCCAGTGCAAAAGTGAGTCGCACAGATTTACACTGGCATTTCTGAATTCAGATTTTACAGGTACTCACTACAGTGTGTGTTTAATCTGTATGCACACAAACACACCACTGATTAATCGCTTGTTTCTCACCCCGTAGAAAAGGGAAGCGTTCTGCCAACTGCTGCAACTCATGAAGAACAAACATTCCAATCAGGACGAGCCAGACATGATCTCCATATTCATCGGAACATGGAACATGGGTGAGAAACACACACACACACGCATACACTCTCTCACACGCACACACACACACACACACACACTCAATTACTCACTCACACTCTCACACACTCTCACATACTCACTCACACTCTAACACACAAAAACACACACACACACACACTCACATACTCACACTCACTGACTTACACTCACTCACATACTCACTCGCACTCACTCACACACACTCACTCACACTCTAACACACAAACACTCACTCACTCACTCACACACACACACACACACACACTCAATCCCTCACACACACTCACTCACACACTCACACACACACACTCACTCCCTCACAAACACACACTCACTCAGTCACTCACTCACACATACTCACTCGCACTCACACTCACTCACTCACACTCTCACACACACTCACATACTCACTCTTACTCTTACTCATACTCACACACTCACTCACACACACTCACTCACACACACACACTTACTCACTCACATACTAACTCGCACTCACTCACACTCACTCGCTCACACTCTCACACACACACACCCACACACTCACTCACGCTCACTCATACACACACACACACACACACACACACACACACACACACACTCACACACACTCCGTCTCTCCTCAGGCAGTGTTCCTGCTCCGAAGTCGATGGGATCGTGGATTTTATCCCGAGGTTTGGGGAAGACTCTGGATGAGATGGCGGTGACGATCCCTCATGACATCTATGTGTTCGGGACGCAGGAGAACTCGGTGTGTGATAAGGAGTGGGTGGAGACGCTCCGCTGCGCCCTCAAAGACTACACCGAGATCGACTACAAACCCGTGAGACACGCTGCAGCTCTGAGCCTCATATTCTCACATTTCACTTTCATTTTTACTCTTTCTGTTATGTGCTTTTGACATTTTTATTATTAGTTTTAGGTTTTGTTATTATATTACTATTTATATGCTATTATAGTTGTATTCATATTTTGAAACAACTGAAAATATAAAACTAAAAGCTTTCAATTTAATTTTAGTTTTTTTTCTCATTTTGTTATGTACTTTTGGCAATTTTATAAGTTTTAGGCTTTTGCTATTGTAGTATTATTTATATACTATTGTATTAGTATATAGGTACATTATATAATATTATAGTTTTTGTTAATAATTTGAAGTAGCTTTTATTTTTATATTTTCAGTTTAAATTTCATTTTAGTTTAGTTTGTAGAAATTTGATGTGCTTTTGGCATTTTTATTAGTCTTACGTTTTTGTTATTGTAGTATTGTTTATGTACTATTATATTTTTTATTAATATTTTTTGAATTAGCTTTTTATTACATTTTCAGTTTTCAAATTCATTAGTTTATTTTTTAGAAATTATATGTGCTTTTGACATTTTTATTAGTATAAGAATTTTTGAATTAGCTTTTAATTTTATATTTTCAGTTTTGAATTTCATTTTGGTTTAGCTTTAAGAAATGTTGTTATGTGCATGTGACATTTTTAGTTGTTTTAGGTTTTTGTTATTGTCGTATTATTTATACACTGCTAAGTTTTTTATGAATATTATGAAATAGCTTTTATATTTAAAATGTCATTTTTCATTTTTATTGTAATTTTTTTACATTTTATTTTTATTCATCATTCATCACATTTATTTTATCTTATATTTTTAGTTTTAATTTATTTTTATTTCAGTTTTTTATTGTAATTTATTTCCATTTAATGATTTAACTTAAACATATTTCAGTTAGTTCCCAAGTCAACAGTTCTAAGTGTTTTATTTGATTTCAGTTTTATTTTCAGTTTTTTTAAATAGTTCTAGTTAACATTCATGTTGATGATGATGCTACTGCAGTTTAATAACACAACCATGTTTATTATCAGTGAGCTCAGACCAAACTATTAAAGCAAGTGTGAAAACAGTGTAAATGAAGAGCGATGCAGCTAAAATCTGTCAGAGCAGAAAGAGACTCATAAATGAATCTTCCAGATGAAATCCAGTGTGTGTGTTTGTGTGTTTAATGACCCTGCGACTGTTATGACTGGGACTTTATTAGAGTTTAATGTGTTTTTCTGTCATGTCGCTCGTCTGTGTTTCTCATCTTGCGGCTGAACTTTCCACAGTAACTGAACGAGTGAAGCACACGAGTGTTTGATCTGTGTGTGTGTGTGTGTGTGTTTGGCTGTAGATCGCAGTGCAGACGCTGTGGAACATTAAGATCGTGGGGTTAGTGAAGGCCGAACACGAGCACCGCATCAGTCACGTGGGAATG